CCAGAAGTTAATAAAGGGGCAGTACGTTTCTGATGGTATCAGGTGGATGGATGGCTATGAGCAGAAAAACACCACCCTGAGCAGACATCGGGGCCCACATCATAGAGATTACACGGTCTCTAATGAGCCCACTTTCTTCTGTCTCTCTTCCACTTGGCACAAATCAGCTCTCTACTCTAGGTGAGACTGTTCAATGCTATTTCCCAGAGTTCAAGTTTCTGGTTATTTTTAGCTGGAGTTTTACTGCATACCTGGGACAGGTGAGGCATGGAAAGGAATGTGGGTGTGGGTAACCCTTGAATATCCAGTGCCAGGGTCTGAGTCTCTTGTCATTCCAGCCAAAGAGGGGTGACTCACACCCTGACTTACTATTGCCCTCAGGCTAGATTTCACCTTAAGAACTATGTGGATTAAAACTTCTTATACATTCCATAACTCTGTATCCAAGCCTTTGGAACATACTTTCTTGATGTTATTTTGTTACCTGCTTTTACTTGGATGCCTTCATTTTCTGTAACCAATACCACAGCCTGTGGTTCTTTCTGGTCCCATTTCCCAGGCCTTTGAGGGACCTGGGGAAAAGAGAGTATCTGGGTTTAGATTATCTGATTTAGACTGTTTGTTGTTTTTTTTTTACACATCTGCAGGTGAAAAGCTACCTGGAAAACACTCTGGCCGTAAGCTGGATGTCTATAGAGTCAGCCAGGTTCTTAGATATCTCTTGCATTGTTTAGGGAATGAGAAAGAATCATGATTTGGTGAGTCTAGGCCCCTTCTGGCAACTACTAGAATCCCCTCTGAGTGCCCTTCATTCCAGAGGGCCTGGCATTCGGACCGGCTGTAAGCCTGGAATAGCCTGTCCGACCGAAACCCTCCAGCTGGGACCCTAGCACCCCATCATAAGACTGAGGTGTTTTCCTCATCTCACTCCAGCCCTGCACTAAGAGGCAAGACCAGGCTGGCTGGTATCACAAAGCCATGACACAATGAATACTACATGAAGTGGCTTTATGATTCAGATGAGGAACAGACAAATTTTTCTCTGGACCAGCATTACGTGACTATTCAGATACACCCTTTATTAAGTCTTAAAGGTCAGGTGTGCTTTTTTTGCAATTGTGAGGGGGAAAAGGTCAGTTGTTTGAAGCTGTTTCTTAAGTCAGGAAAAGAGAACTAAGGAGCTATACCAAGAAAAGAACAGAACAAAGGCCAGAGAACTTCTTCCCCATTCCTAAACTAGAGCCATTGGTAGGGACCTTGACTGCAAGGACAATTTACTTTTCATTTAAAACAAAGTCATTTTAGCCCTGGCTGGTGTGGTTCAGTGGATTGAGCACCGGCCTGAGAATCAAAGGGTTGCCAGTTCAATTCCCAGTCAGAGCACACGCCTGGGCTGCAAGCCAGGTCCCCAGTAGGGGGCACGTAAGAAGCAACCACACATTTTTGTTTCTCTCCCTCTTTCTCCCTCCCTTCCCCCCTGTCAAAAAATAAATAAATAAAATATAAAACAATAAAACAAAGTTGTTTTAAACTCCTATACTTCTACCCATCCCACCACTTCTGGTGACCTATTTCCTGTCTCCACTTTCTTTCTAATGAACTGTACCACTTCTATTCCACAATTCAATCTTAAACCCTAAAGAACATAGAAGTTCAGACAGTTTGTAATGGGTTGAATAGTGTACCCCCAAAATTCATGTTCACCCGGACCCCCAGACTCTGGGAGCTTATTTGGAAACAGGGCCTTTGCAGATGTACAGCTGATCCTTCAACACAGAAGTCAGTAGCATGACACCCCCACCCCCATCGCCCCATGCAGCTAAAAATCTGCGAATAACTTTTGATTCCCCCCAAAATTAACTGGAGTCATCCCTCAGTATTTATGCAGGACTCCAAAACCCAATGAGGCTACCAAAACCTGCAGACGTTCAAATCCCTTACATAAAATGGTGTAGAACAGGGCGTATAGTTGGCCTTCCACACTGAGATTCCCAACCATGAAATACAAGTATATGAAGGTCTAAATGTTAATTTACTGAAAAAAATCTGAGGTGGAACCATGCTGTTCAAGGGTCAACTGTCATTGGTTAAGATGAGGTCATACTGGGTTAGTGTGTGTCCCCAACCCAATGACTGGTCTCCTTATGAGGCCAGGTGAAAACACACATACGCACACAAGGAGGGTTCTATGAAGATGGAGGCAGAGACTAGACTTGTGTTGCCACAAGCCAAGGAGCACCAACCAGTGCCAGCAACCACCAGAAAGTAGGAAGAGGAAAGGGTTCTCCCCTTGAGGTTTCAGAAACATGGCCCTGCCGTACCTTGATCTCAGACTTTTAGCCTCCACGGTGAGGCAATATATTTTTGCTGTTATAAGGCGTCCAGTTTGTGGTGCTTTGTTACTGCAGCCCCATGAAACTAATACACACCTCAGTAAGGGTTTCAGCAGCAAGACTTACCAACCTTCTTACAAGAGACCACGGCCTTGAATAATGACACAAACCCACAGCCGTGTCCTCATTTACTAATGCATCACACTTATTTGTGACTCCTGCTCTTCACAACATTTTTACTTGTTCTATTTGGGACTCTAACTTATGGTCTGGACCACTAGTATGCCTGAAGGCACACACACCATCCACATTTTTTCTTCCCTTATTTTTCCATCTTCCCATTCTAGCAAAGCACAATTAAGTATATATTGGGTTGGCCAAAAAGTCCATATGGTTTTTTTCTGTAAAACAAAAGACACATTATTCATTTTCACTAACAACTTTATTGATTTGGATATTTTGAGTATGTCAGCTGACTCCAATGTGGTATAACATTGATTATTCTCAATTAATGTCTTGATTTGATTGCCATGAACTTCAACAGGTGCACCCAACCGTAAAGAATTGTCCAGCAAGAAATCTCCAACACAAAACTCTGTAAACCTTTTGACACATTCAATAGGTCACAGCACCTTCTCCATTCACTGCACAACTCTTTTTTGCATTTCAGTTGTTTTTACCTTTCTTGAAATAATAAAGCATACCATGCCAAAAATGTTGCATATTTTCTTCCATCTCCAATATTAAAATGGCTGTACAAAAATTCACCAACTTTGATAAGTTTTATTTGTTTGTTTGTTTGTTTGTTTATTTTTGGCCAAGAGAAAAGGTTTAATGAGTAAAAAGCAAAAAAATAAAAAGAAAAGCAAACTAGTGGAAAGAATAGAACATAACTACCACTGAGTCCCTAGATAATTTGGCCCAGTGTCAAAACTGGACGAAAACTATTTATATTATTTAAACCTCTGGATTACTTTAATTAAGAAAACAGAAAAAGAAAGATGAAAGAGAGAAAGTGTGAAAGGAAGCTGAAGGAAGGAAGGATACTGGTAAGTTTTTTTTAATGCACTCTGGTATGACAGCTGTCACAATGCAATCTAACAAAATTGTTTCGAATGAAGTTAAAGACAGCTAAGCGCTATTAGAACCATCTCACGGAAACAAATGAACTTTTTGGCCAACCCAACACTTTAGAAACAACAGCTAAGCTTTAGTGGTAGTTTTTAACTTTTTCAGTATGCCCAGAACTATGCATATATCTCAGTGGTCCACAGACCCTAGGTAGAGACCCCTGCCTATTGGGAAAGTTCAGATTCCTTCAGAAGAATTCCAACCTCTCCTCCTTACCCACCACCTATACCCTGATTCAATGTCGGCTTGCTTCTGCAGCCACCCACTGAGCTGAAACAGCAACCATCGATCTTTTACCCACTGGCTAAGAGAGTTACCATTATCCTAAGCCATCCTGCAGATTTCCATCAGGAAAATACATTTAATGGAGAATTAGCCTCCAGTGGTAGACACAACTCATAACACATAGTCACAAATACAGTCCCACTCACCTGTCTGCCTCTTCCTTCCCTTCCACCCTTTTTCTCCTTTCCTTTTTCATTGCCTCCTGACTCCTCTAACTTAGCCTTCACATAAACGCACCATGAGCAGCAATGAAATTTGAGGCAAACTTAACAAAATAAGCCATGAGTTATATTTCAATTAACTCTACATGTTTTATCCATAGGCACCCATCTTAGGATATATTTGTGGTAGAAAGCACCCTACTACCAATATTTACAAAAGACCTTCCTGTAATCAACAGCTCACATCTGACAACCACAGAGAATTTCACTGACATTTACTTTTCACTTCTCACCAGACACTTTGACTCTAAGAAACACAATTTTGATCCATTCACTTTCATTTAGATGAATATGGAAAGTTTCTCTTTTGCCAAAGCTCATTCTTGATCTGAAGCTATTTGAATTGCCTCATTCTGATTCTGCCACTCAATACTCTAAAAAAATTGCTATGTTCAACAGAACTGATTAGATACTTTCTATGTATAAAAGCCCTCAGAGCACATGACAGTTCTCAACTCGAAGCGCAAAGTCATTTCTGATTTCCATTGCCTCTCTCCTGACCCACTCACTCCCGACAGTGCCAACGTATACTTCCTCCCAGCGGCTGATGCCCCAGCTTTACATCTCCTGAATGAAACTAACCAATAGATGAGGCCAAAAGAAAGGAAAGTGTCCAATGGACATCAATAAAAAGTGATGAAATTGTGTCTTGGAATTCCCCTATATTCACGATGTTCCCTGATTTTAATTGAGTCACCTGGAGATAAGACTCTATATAAGAAACCAGTCTTCCCAATCACCTGCTTAATCCAAGAGGCCAAGGCAGTGAATCTATTTAGGGTGTACAGTCTTACTTATGGACTTTGCTCCACCCGCAAGAAAAACATAACCAACCCTTTAGCTGGAATTTCTTTCAAAGCTACCCATCATCTTGTTCTGTTGACTGACTTTTAAAGTCATAAATAATGTTTAAATTAAGGACAACCAATGAATTTGGCATGTAACCACTAGTTAGTTTCTTACCCATGAGCAAGATCTTACTTAAATACATTAAGTCCTTTAACCTATAAACATCTTCAGTAAGTCTGAATATTTTAAAAATATTTAAATTTATTATTTCACATTAGGCCTAACAAAGCACAAGCTGAAATTGCTTAAGTATCACCATTTTATAAACGTAGGAGCTTCTTTACAATTACAGGTCAAGTGCTTCATCAACCTGGTCCTTGACTTGAAGCTGAAAAAAGCAAAAGGTCTGTGTGAAGGGACCGAAGGACACATCCTCCTCACAGCACGTGCCAGAACCAAAGCTGAAAACAGTAAGGGCCCGCCATGAGCACTGGGAGCAATGTTCTGCGGCACTGGCACTCCAGCACACAGAGAGGGGGATAACTATGGAATTAGCTGAGCGGATTCTGGATGTAATTCTCAGATTTCAGTCTGAAGAACTCTGTTGGAGCCTTCTTTCTTTTCTTCAATCCCCTTTTTACAAAACGGAGCAGAAATCAAGTCTCTATCAAAGAGATTAGCGGCCTTTCCGTTTCTTCATTCTTCCTCCAGCCACCTTGTTCCTGACCCCAATAGCGCCCTCCGTATCATCGTTGTCCCCAGCATCCTCCCGCGCACGTTTCTTCTTCTCTCCGTGCTCCCTCAACTCCTGCAAGAAAGCAGAAGGACAGGACGGAAAATGAATCACCCTCACTGATGGTTAACACTTCCCAGTCTCCCTTCCTTAAAAATCAAACACAGAGTAACTTCCTAAAACCTCACATTAGCAAGGGGATTTCCCAATACACAAAAATGTTAGCCTTACTAGTATCAAATACAAAAAAGTTAAAACAATAAGGTATTACTTTCACATGGCAGACTAGCAAAAATTTAAGACACTGGTAATACCTAGTATTGGTCAAAATATGAGGACATTCACATATACTCTCGCTGGTAGAGGAAACTACTCTAGCTTTTCCACAGGGCAATGCAGCATTCCAGGTCAATTCACACGTTAACTGTGTGTACTCCTTAGCCCAACAGTTATTTCTAAGAATTATTCGAAGGAAACAGACAAGTGTGCAAAGCTATACATGCTATGATGCTCAACCCAGTGCTAGTTAAAATACAAAAAAAATTAGAGAAAGCATAAATACACATCAGTGTAAATCATGTTACATATTAGTAACAGAACTCCTTGTAGCCATGAAGAAATGATTGAATGGATCTATATTTGTTGAAATCAAAAAATCATATGCAATTAGATGAAGTCTAATTATGGCTAAAGAAAGAAAAATAGCCACAGGTTACCAATGGTTCTCTGCAGGGGATAGCTTATGTTTCATTTACTATCTGAATCCTTTTTGGACTTTCTGAACTCTCCACTCAATGCATATGTAAACAAAAATAGAAAACAAAAATTCCCTGCTGGAAGAAAAACAAAAACAAGTCCACACTGGAGCTACTCAGAAGGCACCCCAGGGCTGAGGTTTCCCTAGTCCTCAGACAGAACCTCTGGGAGGAGGTAACACTAGCAAGGCTTCTCCTTAGAGTCTTCTCATCTCCACTACTCCTGTTATTGTTAGTAACTGTGCAGTTTTCATTAGCTTATCTGGTGCTCATAAAACCATGTAAGGTGTTCACAGTAAGTATTATGCCCTACATCGGGACAGGAACTGTTTGGTAAGGAACTGCTTTTGAGAAATCAGACACATTGTCCAAGCTCACAGCTAGGCCTTCTGATCTCAAGTCCGAAGGTTTTCCTGCCACACGTGAAACATGAACAGTAGCTGAGAACATGGTCACTGTGTAAGACTTAGTTCGAACCATGATTCAACCACTTAGTTGTATGATCTAATGATGGACTATCACTAACTTGAGCATGCTCATCTTAAATTTGGAATAAAATATTATCCAGCTCCTGTAATCTCTTATGAGGACTAATACAATACAGTGTCTAGCACATAGTAACATCAGTTGCAAAGAAGTTGGTAAAAAGTAAGTTGCATACCATTCGGGCAAATCTTTGGGCTTCAGTCACACGTTCTGTCAGCATCATAACCTCATCATCCTGTGTTGGAAAGACAGGCAGTTTCTTCCCAATTAGGTGTTCTATGCGCTGGAAGAGCTCCACATCATATCTGAGGAAGGGAAATTGGCATGCTTTGGGGGACTGACGATGCAAATGTCAGCCTATTCCAAAACTGTACGACGCATGACACAATGTAACAGTGTTAAAGCAATACTGAATCTACTGTTCCTTTTCCGAATACTGGCTACATGCAATCTTCTGTGCACAGCACACTAGAAAAACCACCCAACAGCTTTTACTCCCAAAAAAGCACTGGGTACATAGAATGTGTTCCCCTGAAAACAGTATCAGAAATAGTTATTCTACTCCTTTGAGTTGAGGGAAAGGTCACTGCTCTTTGGCTCTAGCAGTTAAAGAAATAAAAAGGCTTTGTCTGTTCCTTCTGTCTGTCGAACACTATACTAGACCTTGTGCATCTACATCTCCGATCTTCACTAACATGTGCAGCAGTGAGTTCTTTGTTGTGGGGCTATCCTTTGTACTGTAGGGTGCTTGGCAGCATTCCTGGCCTCCAACCACAGGAGGCACGGTGACAAACAGTTATGATTTCAGACTTTTCCAAAGGGAGGTATTATTATTTCCATTTTACAATGAAGAAAATGGGATTAAGGGAGGTTAAGTAACTATTATAGTAACTGGTGGAGTGAGGTTCCCAGTCGGTCTACTCCGAAGTTCTGCTCCTTGCTCTACACCACTCTGCCCCTGAAGCCCACTCACTTACTGGGTGACAAAGGTAATAGCCTTCCCAGAGCGCCCAGCTCGAGCTGTTCGACCTACTCGATGGATATAATCCTGAAACAAAAAGGGTAAATTTGAGTTACATGAACTATAAATAACACAAATTAGTTGCCCTCCACACATGCCCGACTAGGGATCAAACCCACAGCCTTTCAGTGTACAGGACAATGCTCTAACCAAATGAGCCACACCAGCCCTTTTCCTTTCTTTTATAGAATGATAAATCTACAAAGCGTGTCTACATGGTCCCAAAGCATATTAACACGGTATAGAAAAAACAGCATTAAATCTAGAGAAAGAGATAGGTCACCGCTCTGGTTTTACCACCTACCAGCTATACAACTATCTGCAAGTCACATCATCTCTCTGAACCTTGGCTTCTTATCTATAAAACAGGGACAGGAAGACATGCCCAAACTCACAGTTACTGTGAAAGTCAAATGAGGACGACAGCACCTTGTACACAGCAGTTAAACATACAGCCAAGAGATACCAGTTGTTCTCAGCCAGGGGCAATTTTGCCCTCCCTAGGGGATATTTGGAAAAGTCTGAAAACATATCTGTTTGTCACAATGTCACCTGTGGTTGGAGGCCAGGAATGCTGCTAAGCATCCTACAATACAAAGGATAGCCCCCACAACAAAGAACTCGCTAGCTCCAAATATGAATCATGCCAAGGCTAAGAAACCCTAAGAAACACGAAGAACCACAAGCTGTCATTTCTAAAGAAATAAGACTGATGAAGATCAGCATATGTTGCATCTGTTCTCTGACTGTGAGCATCTAATACCTCTCTTTAGCTACCTACATTCACATGTAGCAATATTCTATCTGCAGGCATGTGCAAAATGATAAGTGAACAAATCAGGTTTCCCAGTTTTTGATACTTAACTAATCATAGACCAAAAAAAAAAAAGATATTGTAACTAAGGAAAAACAGAAAACATTTCCTTGAAAAATATACTCTGGATACAATGGAATAATACTCAGCCATTAAAAAAAAAGAATTAAATCTTGTCATTAGTGAGAACATGAATGGATCCTAAGGGCATTATGCTAAGTGAAACAAGTCAGAGAAAAACAAATACCTTATGACCTTAACCTATACGCCAAATCTAAAACAAAAACAAAAACAAAAACTGAGCTCAGACTGCCAGAGGTCGGGGTCAGGGATAGGGGAGTGAGATGGGTGAAGGCGGTGTAAAAGGTACAGATTTCCAGTTATAAAATAAAAAAGCCATCAGAATATAATATACAGCATGATGACTATGGTTATTAATACTGCACCGCACATCTGAAAGTTGCTAAGAGAGTAGATCTTATAAGTTCTTATCACATACCCAAAAAATCTGTTATTATATGTGGTTACAGATGTGAATTTGACTTACTGTAGTGATCATTTTGCAATACATACAAATATCAAATCTTATGTCGTACAGCTGAAACTAATATAATGTTCTACGTGAATTATACCTCAATTAAAAAAGAAAATACACTTTGGCACCAGAAGTCAGATCAGCAGCAGGACTCACCTTGGAATGGGTAGGAATGTCAAAGTTGACCACGACATCCACATGCGGTATGTCCAAACCTCGGCTTGCAACATCAGTGGCCAGAAGAATGGAACGAGCCTTTGCCTTAAACTTATTGAGGGATCCAAGACGCTTGCTCTGAAATGATGAAAAAAGAAGAAATGAAAATAATTTAAGGACTCTTGGAATCTAAGACATACCAACTAGACATGCTAATACAAAAGACAGAAATTTTTTAAACTATATTTCCCCTTAAGTCCAGATTGGATTCATAAGTCAAAAGGAAACACAGAAGCAACAAAAAAATATTTAAGACTAAGACTAGAAAATACAAACATGCAATAAGAATTTTTTAACATGATGGGTAATTGGGAAATAATTTATTAAAAACCCTTAGAGACCAGAGAATCACTATTACAACTAAATAAATCAACTCAATAGCTTCTATTCCAGACAACTACCTGGGAATATTCTAATCTGAGCTTCTGCTATCCTGAGAGTAGGAAGTAAACATCCAGACAACACTTTGAAGCCATGGAATCAAACAATAATTGGAAAATGCACTAATGTCATGTGTTGTTACTGTACAAATCTATCGCTATATGGTTTATCTTTCTTATGCCACCAGTTCACCAATGACACCAAGGAATCTTTACCTGACTCATCTGTCCATGGAGGGGGATGGCAGTAAATCCAAGATTTCGGAGTAGCAAGGCTGTTCTCTGAGTATTGTTACAGGTGCTGCAGAATATCATAAAGGAGTTTCCAGCCAATTCATTTAGAATATAAACCAGGTAGGTATCCTAAGTTACAAACCCAAAACAATAATATATGTAATTGAACCTGGAAGAAAAGGTTGGAGTCCTGGGCATACATCGAGGTAAATCACATAAAAGACCAAGTTAATAGCTGCTTCTCAATTGTACAGACTCCTAGCTGCCTCATACAGCCGAAGCCAAGCACAGAGACTTGTACTCAGCAACCAGGAAGTCCTCACACATAAGGCCCAGCACAGGGGTCCCTCAACTACAAAAAAGCCACATAATAAGCACATAAAACAAAAACTACCTCAAGGATGGGGTTGGGAAGGAATTATATCATGACTTCATTACTGTGGTTGATTTAGTATGTTGTGAATTCCTGGAATGTTTGGCTCTCCCAGAGATAAACATAATCACAGCACCCTCTCTAAAACAGAAGGAACTCCAATCTGCAGCTCAGCTCTCAGCTAATCAAGAGTTGATACATTTTCAGATGCTTTAGTGAGGAAAGAGAGGGAGAGGCAGAAATGATCAAAGTAAACACTTTACCTTGAATTTAGAGGGAATAAAAATGTAATATTGCTGTAATTTCTCAACTGTCTGGTATTTAGAGGAAACAGCACATTTCACAGGATTCTTTAGTGCTGCTCGCTGAAGTTTTTGCACCTGAAGAAAAAAAGAAAACCTGGAATAGTACAGATTCCCACAGACTCTTTCTATTTTTACTGTTGTTATTGTTATTTTTATTTATCAATTCTTTCAGAAAGAAATAAGAAGTCCTAGAAAATTCCACCTTCTTGGTCATGGTAGCAGAGAACAGAAATGTTTTCCGATCTCGGGGAATCACTTTGAGAATCTTGTCGACCTAAGGCACAAAAAGGAAAGGATATCAATATAACATTTCAAGTGGACACCTGCAATTACTCCTTGTGAAGGAGAGAGAGAATAGAACAACGAACTGAATACAGCACTGTGGAGGCTGGGGACTCAAAAATTCAATTCAGTCCAGCAACAATTTGAAATATTTACTATTTGATACTGTGCCAGAAGCTATCAAAAAATGTGACTCAGAGAAAATGAACAATTTAAATTAGTAGATTAGAACTAATCTAAAAGAAAAGTCAAGAGTAGGTATTAATCAACTAAATAAACTATGATGAGAACATCAAAAGACAAAAACAAAAACAGATATTTTGAGGTACATGGAAGAGGTCCAGCCAATGAAATAGAAAATAAAATCTGGGTTTGATCTTTTCCTCATCTCTGAAACCAGAGTCAGAAGACATTCTAAAGATGCTGAGACAGTAACGACAGGGAGAACACCAAGAATGAAAAAGGCCGCAGAGATGTTTAAACTAGCTGATGATGATGCAGCACTCCACCTGAAGCAGTGTGAAATAAACCGAATTTTGAAACAGGGAACTTGAAATGCTCTAAGAGGAAACAAATTAAGAGCTCACCTCTGTCTCAAAATCCATATTCAATATTCTGTCTGCTTCATCCATGACCAAGTATTTGAGAGCTCTTAAGTTGAAACCTTTTGTATTTTCCAAGTGGTCAATCAGTCGACCAGGAGTTGCTGTCAAGAAAGGTTGAGGAGAAAGAGCAATGTTCAAGAACAAGGACAAAAAGAAAGAAAGTTACCAAGTCCCTTTTCCTCCTCTTCCCGATTTCAGAAATTAAGAAACTAAAGAGGATTACAAAATCTGTTCTTCAGCCCTAACCAGCGTGGCTCAGTTGGTTAGGTGTCATCCTGTAGAGCAGAAGGTCACCAGTTTGATTCATGGTCAGGGCACATGCCCAGGTCGTGGGTTCAGTCCCCAGTTGGGGCACTTGCAAACGGTAACCAACCGATGAATGTTTCTCTTCCTTTCCTTCTCCCTTCCTTCCCCTCTCTCTAAAAATAAAATCTTTTTTTTAATCTGTTCTTCAAAGACTTTCTGATGGAGTAAGCAGTTAGACAGGCATGAAGAGAGCAGCAATGTACAGAATGTCACCTGGGCAGAAAGTCCCAGGTACCTAGCAAGGGGCAAAACTAGGGAAACAACTACTACAGGCCAGGACCTTGCCCCCATGGTGACCTTTCCTCCCCTAGCATGTCATTAGTCATGCAGTTTAGGCCCCTAGAGGTCTAAAGGGGCCGGAGAGGAGGAACAAGGGGCTGGAGAACAGCCTCATCTGCCTCCCATACACAGATAGGCAACGACGACCAGACAGGCCCCGATAGAGGTCGGCTTACAGAAAGAAGTGGTCAGCCCCTCCTGGTAAAAAGGAGCCCTTTCCCACAGCCTGGGGCAGCTCAACTCTTCATTTCGAGTGTGCTTCTGCTTGACTTGCTGAATAAACTTACCCCTGCGCTAGAGTTCTTGGCTCTGAATTCTTTCTTAGCCAAACTCAAGAACCTAGGTCCACATTCGCCACTAACATTTCCACACAAGTTACACCCAACATTGGTAGATTTTCTCTGATTCATCATTGCCAGTGTCTTTTACCTTTGGCAATTACTCACCTATTATTATATGTGGTTTTTTTGCCAGGGCCAGAGATTGGGACATTGAATCAATTCCACCTACAATCACAGCTACAAAAAAAAAAAAAAACATAGAAAAGAGATACTTCATTTTTTCCATAGTTCACTGATCACCTCTTAAAGCCAATGCTATATTTCAACTTAAATTTATTCTTCCCTTAAATTTATAACTTTCTCCAAAGCTAAAATACCAAATCAGCTTTATGGTTAATAAATGTATGTTAATTATACTTCCTTCCATTCTCCTTTTACACTCACTCCCAACTAGTGAAGAAACCCTAAGACTCTTCTCCTCTTAGACACTTACCACTCTGCACTCCAATAGATGACCCCAGGGCTTCAAACTGCTCAGAAATCTGGAAGGCCAGCTCTCGGGTGGGAGTGAGAACTAAAGCAAACAAACGCTGGGGCGTCTCCAGCAGCGCATTCAGAATAGGCAAAGCAAAGGCCCCCGTTTTTCCAGAGCCAGTTTCTGCCAGCCCAATGATATCACGACCTAGGAAAGAAAAAAAGAAAGAAAATAACTAATGGCAAAGAAAATGGCTGCATTTTTCCACATTTTATGCAATGACACAACATTGAGCACAAAGCAGATGCTGAATAAGTACCTGAGGAACTGGGGGCAGAGGAAGGCTGAACAGTCAGAAAACATGATCTCTGTTCTAGGTAAGTTCAAAATCCAGGGATGAGACACACAAGTACATAATAATGTGATGAGGGCTTTAACACAAGCCCCTGCAAAACACAGTGAGAACACCACGGAAGGCGTAACTTACTGACCCAAGGAGTCAGGAAAGGCTGAAAGAGGTGATGGATAAATTAAATCTAAGCATAAGCATGGAAGGAAAGGAAGGACATTCCCGTATGATGTATGACGAGAGGATGAAAGCTTTAGAACAGCAGTCCCCAACCATTTTGGCACGAGGGACTGGCTTCACAGAAGACAGTTTTTCCTCCAAACCGGGTGGGGGGGGGGGGTTAGAGGGGAAGAGATAGGAGGCGAAGTTCTGGCAGTGAGCAAGGCTTCACTGGCTCACCTGCTGCTCACCTCCTGCTGTGTGGCCCGGTTCCTAACAGGCCACAGACCAGTACCAGTCCTCAGCCTGGGGGTTGGGGACCCCCACTTTATAGTATGCACAGGGAGAGTGAAATGTGCAATGTGGCTGGAACACAGAAGTCTTAGGGGAAAGGGCAGAAGAATGAGGCTAGAAAGGAAACTCATAAGCTACGCTGAAGGGTTTTGATGTCTTCTTATAAGGAAGAAGGATTCAAAGCAGGGAATATCTCAACCAGTGTTATCCGTTAGGAAGATAAAGTAGGCCTGCTGGCACAGAGAGGCAACAAGGAGCTTAACAGTCCAGGTCACTTCTTTTGAGGGAAACACGTCGTAAGGAATTCCTTAAGAATAGGTCCCCACGGGAAGCCCTCAACTGATGAGATTTGGAAATCACCTCCCAAGCTAAAACCACTAGAACAGTGCCCATGGGAATGCTTCCTGCTGAGCGATGATCTCCACGGATGTTCTATACTCAAAGTCTAGCTCTAGCAGTAACTAGCTACGTGACTCCAGCCCAGGTACTTAGTCCTGTGAGCCTCAGTCTCACCAATAAAAATAATCATCCCTACCTTTCAAGCTTGTTATAATGTTTAAGAACAATGAATGTACTCAGGGCTCAGTAACGGTAGAAACTGACACCCTCATTAGTACTCAAATTAAAATTTTAAAGTTAATTTTGTAGGAGAAAAGAAAAAAAACTTTGTTAGGCTATTTAAATCATTTGCTTCATCAGAATCTATAGATTCAAATGAAGCATTTATAAACTAGTCATTAAAGTGAGACAAGATTAACAATGGGAATAAACACATTTTCCATGGTGATTATGTCAATCACATTACTCAGTTCCCAGCAATCTTTCATTAACTCCTATTTTCTCTGCATTAAATACAAAGTTCTGACTGAAAATGTTGGAATTATTACCACCACCTAATTTTGATTCCTTCTTCCCACCTGAGTCACAGGAAGAGAAAGTCAGAATGTCCCGACCCTCCCTTTTGTTGCTTGAAAGCCATGCTGGCACTGCTGGCTGCTGAGGCTTCTCCCCTACAATGGCCTTCGTACCGTCCTTACCCTTCTAGCTTCCCTAAACAAGTGGGAAGTGTTTGCTACCTCCTCCCTGAAACACTGTCCCTGACCTACTGTGTGTGAAACTGTACTCGTGACTTTCAGCCCTGCGCTGAGCCTCCATTTCTCCTCTCTATCATCTCTGGGCCTCATCCGGCAACCTCACCCATTTCTGGTTTCAGCCATAACCTCTCCGGACACGATGTCTACATCCAGTTCTAGCCTCTTAATCAAGCTCTAATCCCTATATTCCAACTGTGCACTAGTCAACTCAATCTCTTTGATGCCTAAAATGATTTCCAACTGAATTCACTTTTCCTGAAATTATTTTTCCTCTTGTGTTTGCTTTTTATGTAAGTGGTATGACAGTATGTCCTAAACACATAGGCTAGAAACTTTACAATAATCTGAGATTTCCCCACACCTCACCTTCCACTTCAACAAACAGGTTGTAATATTATGATGATTCTTTTGTCATCATTTTCTCTTTTTCATCCTCACTACCATTACCCTACCCATTATTTATTCCCAAACGTATTGCAATGGGCTCCTAATTGATCTCCCAGGCTCCAGCCTCTTGTCTCTAAAGTATGCAAGAATACAACTCCAAGGATTTCATTCTTCTGCTAAAAAATCATCTCCAAAGCTGCTCCACTGACTATGAAACAAAGACCAAATTCCTTTACCCAGCACTCAAGTCCTTCATGATCTGGCCCCAATCACCTTACTAATCTTTCCCACCACTCTGTTAAGAGCTTGCAGGTCTCCACTCCACACATGCCCATATTCCCCAGTCATCTTGGCTTTTTTTCATGCTCTCCCCTGTGGCTAGAAAGTCCTCCCCTCCCATCATCTCTAAATGTCTAAATTCTATTCAGTCTTTGAAGTTCGACTCAAATGTCTTTCTAAACTCCCCAGCCAAAAAAATTCAACAAATGTTCTCTAATACAATTCAATTACAAGTAATCTATTCTACTCCCTCAGTGCACTTTGAAATAACTTTCTTATGTCCCTGTTCACCTTGTAATAAATTTGTGTCTCCTGAAGAAGGCAGAATCTTAACTCCTGGTGCTTCATGTTTGTATCACATACTTAGTAACTATTTATGGAATGAGCAAATGGAATTTCACAGAATAAGTCTAATTCTTTTTCACTACAACAGCTCTTCAAAGCATTAAAGTCAATTATCAACTACCCCCTAACTTTAGTCTCCTCCAGACCACAGGCACTCAGTTCCTTCAACTACTTGTGGCTATGCTTGATACTGTACCACATTCATTGCACCTCAGCTAGTCCCTGAACCCTGATCCCCAGAACTGAGCATAGTATTCTAGGTGTGTTCTAAACAGCGTAAAGCACTATTCTCTCCCTGGAGCTAATTCAGTTCTTAACCTGGCACTTGTGAGAGAGGAATTCAGGACACTGTGTAACTTTTATGTGTAAATGTATTCATACTTTTTTTTCTGGGAAGAAACTCTTTAATTTTTATTTGATTCTCAAAGGGACAGGAAACCTGCAAAATGTCACCCGTCTCTTATGGCAATACACCTAAGGTGACATTCACTTCCTCTGAGGATCTCAATGACTTTCCAGTTAATTTCTTGGACTCTCCTTTTACCACCCATACTAATCCTGTCAAGTTCAGCTTTGGAATCTAAGAACAGGATTTCCCCTCTACTCCTATCAAAGTTCCTTCTGTTGGTTTCAGTCCCACTAGTCATAAGCCACTCTTCTGCAAATCTGATAAGCATGTTTAATTAACAGCAGGAGCTCTCAACACCTCTCTATATAACACAGATTCCTGGCACCCTTATGTAAATCTGCCCTTATTTTTCATAATTTCTACCAAGTTTCTTCTTAATACATTTAAATCCAGTGCTTCCTTAAAGTCAGCATCTGCTGCAAACACTAAATCCTCTTATACAAAGTAAGCTCGGTAAAACCCGAGAACTTTTTGAAAAGCCGATAAGCCACCAACTTCTGTCTTTAGTGACCATATTTTTATTTCGCTTCAAGTATGCAAGCAAAAGTTCTCACAAGTGGTAAATATTTGAGTAGAACTCCATACTAAATCTGTTCCAGGACGTATGTTTAATTTCAACCTACCTTGTAAGGCCAAAGGAATAGCTTCAATCTGGATTTTGGTGGGCTTCGTCCATCCCAACTGGTCACAAGCTTCACACAACACATCTGTCACACCCTTTGAATTCGAAAGAACACACTTAAGCAAACTACACACAGCCACCTCCCTCCGGATTAAATGACTGTCAGAGCCACCCTGCTTGTGACACGTGCATGCATCCCTTACACTTGGATTCAAAAGGCACCTACTGCTCGCCTGCTCAGCCGGCATCTTTAGAGCTATGAGACAGTAGCTCAAGACTTAACACTTTCTATTCACCAGGGACAAAGCCAAGTTTCTTACACGTATTTCATTTAATCCTCATAATTCTACGAGGTATTTCCCCAATTTATAAATGTAGAAAGTGAGGCGCAGAGAGGTAACAACTTGCCTCTAGTGAGAGACTGGGTCAGAATTCAAACCTGGTTCATCCTATCCCAAAGCCCGAGATATTAAATAATAAATAAATAGAATAAGTCGATTGGCCGCATGTACAACCTCACAGACGGATACAAACGTCGCCACACTAACAGGAAGAGCTAGGCCCCAGCTTTTATACATCACCAGCAGAGATCCAAGGTCTCTGCCTGCGCCTGGCGCCAGCAGCACAAACAGAAAGCAGTGTCATCCACCCTCACCAGGTCTTTAAATGTTTTAGCTTCCTCCTCCTCCAACGCCGGCTGGGGCGCTTCTGTTGAGGAACTGTGTTCCTCGGGCGCCGCCATGTTGTTCGGCGGTGCCGGAAGTGGGTGGGCGTTGCGCACTACGCCGGTCAATGTAGTTGTAGTTCTCCTTAAATGGCGTGTTCTGAGCGCCCCCCTGCGGGCTTGTCGGGCTTTGCAACAGCAGACCAGGAGGTGGGGCTTTGCGGAAACTTAGTGGAAAAGTTAGGGATGGATGTAAGCGTGTGGGCTTGTGGAATTGAGTCGAGGGCAGGAGGGGCTGATGACCGGAGCCTCCAATGTGCCCTTCGGGTCCCTTTTAAAAAGCTTTCTCCATCAATTATGTTCCTCATTTTTTTAACCACCGAGTTTTAAACAGGTTAATATCACAGAATTATTTATTATCATTTCATTTCTTTATTCAGATATTTGTTGAGTGCCTACTATATGCTAGAGCTATGTTAGATGCTTAGTGACAAGGACCGTGTTCCCTACCCGCGTGGAGAAGACAGTAAGTAAGTGATTATAGATCCTTTCAAATTATGAAGAGTACTATGATTTAACAAATGGAGATAAAAATGATAGCGTAACCTAGGGAAGGCGGGTTTGGGGCATTACTGCAAGATTAGGGAAGGCCTCTCGGACATTTGAGCTGAGATCTCACTGCTCAGCAGAAGGAAGTCCCTTCAAGAGCCCAGGGGACCATTATTTCAGGCTGAGGGAACAGTAAATACATAGACTCTAAGGGAGTGTAGTTGGTGAGGCTGTTCTGGAATCTACCACCACTGAGGTAAATTAAGTATATTGCATGCTCTGTGCCCAGCATGCAGGTTCCCACACGGTGCCAGGGTTTTCATTGCAGTGGTGTTCTGGAGGTGGATAGTGGAAGAAATCTGGTGTCCGTCACTGGGAGAGTGGATAGTAAAAATGTGTACATAGTGTGAACAAACATGCCCATAACAATACGGCTGTATCTCAGAAACCTAATGTTGAGTGAGAAAAGTATAAAATACATTATGTACATTTAAAATATATTTTCACAAAAAAGAAAAAGAAAACATGCCCACAAGATACTGCCTTCTTCTGGAACATGTACAAACAGAAAAATACACTCTAGACATTTTAGAACAATTGCCTGTGGAAAGAGAGGAATTGGGATGAAACTGGGAATTGGGGATTAAAGACAATACATACACAAAGCAAGAGAGGGGACTTGTGATGATAATGATAATGTGCCTTGCCCCGAGAACTGTCAGCTCAACAGGACTCAATTTAGTGTGCCCAAGGACCTTCCCATCTCTAGAGCGAAAAAAGCCTCTGATTTAGGAATCAAGTGGTGCCCACAACGACCGGGCCAGGTAGGCTGAGGTCAGAGAGGCAGGCTCGGGTCAGACCCTGCGGTTTTCTCTTGCACAGTCACGCTCAGAATTCCTCTGCTGCACAGATTGTTTTTTTCTGTAAAAACAGAAAAGCAGCAGAAGTTATTTATTTTGCTCCCCTGAGACTCACTCTCTGATTCCATCTAGGAGAGAAGAATGGGAAGTGAAGAATGGGAAGTGCTGAGAGAAGGTGGAAGACGTGCCTGGGGAGTGAGGGGAGTGGAGCTAAGATGCCCAAGAGGGGGACCCAGGTGGAATCAACTAGAAGGGCCATAAAATTGTATGGAATGTAAGGTCTAAAGTGCCCCACGTTTTGTTAAAATGTGTTACAGGAAAGAAAGAAAAAAAATCACACACAGGTTTCTGCAAATCTGGTGCTGCTCCAAAAGGATTTAAATCACTCACCTGCTGTTATGCTATAAAACTCTGTCCATTTTAGCCAAGCAAAAATCTTTTCTGTTTGTTCTTGGATAATTCAGCTATCAGCTATATTTAGCACTTCCTCTGGCGCTAGTGTCCCTGAGGTATGTGATGACGAAGGCAGCAATGTCACTCTATGCCTTGGTCCAGGGTGCCGGCAAGGGTTGGACCTCAACCAGCGACAGGCACATGGCTGACAGGGTTCATGTCAGACCAACTGGTGACTGCAGCAGGTTTCCAAAGAGGAAAGCCTGCATCAGCTGAGAGGAGGGTCTGCTTTTGACTATTCCTACCAGGTTTGGAGTGATTTGGACATTTACATTCTGGCTGTAAAAATAATAGAGGTTCCATTCTAGTAACAGAGATGGGTCATATCCTGTGCTTCCAGAACAATGAGGAAGTTTAAACAGGAAATCCTAATGAACCTCAAAATGATGGTGGGGATGGGGCGGGAAGCCTGAAACAACATACAGGCTTCAGAGTGAAAGGTTAAAGGACTGACCCCACCAAACTCTGAAAGCGTTTCTGCTTTCATGGGAGGGCCCCTTCCAACACACACACATACACGCACATAAAAATTACACTTTATGGCTGCATTAGTAAAAAGACAAATATATTAATATTATAAATCAGCCCTGGCTGGTCTGGCTCAGTGGACTGAGCACCAGCCTGAGAACCGAAAGGTCACCGCTTCAATTCCAGGTCAGGGTACATGCCTGGGTTGCAGGCCAGGTCCTCAGTTAGGGGTGTGTGAGAGGCAACTGATTGATGTTTCTCTAGTACATCAAGGTTTCTTTACCTCCCTTTCTCCCTCCCTTTCCCTCTTTCTAAAAATAAATGTAATCTTTAAAAATATATATTAATATTATAAATTAAATATTTTGACTTAAAAGTTTATTTTTGCTATTGGTTTTAAAAGAACTTAAAAATGCTTTGATGGGCCTGTAAAAGTATGGTGGGCACTAAACACAGGTGGGCCCTGCTTGGTTGAATTAGGGAAGAGCATACAGACCGTGGTGAAGCCTTCAACAAGCCAGTAACACTAGGCTGTGTGGGGTGCAAGCATCTTAGGATAGTGGTGGCTCCTGTACCAAAACTCGGGGACAAGCGTACTGAGGAGGGATCAAACAAGAATCAGTTATTAATCAGCTTCTGCTCAAAACCCTCCTAGAAATTGAATACCCTCTAGTCTATTTGGGAGAAAGTTCACTTATAACAAAGTGCTCTATATTCACCAAGAAGGAACCAATGCAAATTTTATCACTCAGAAAATTACCTTGAACCATAATTTATCATTATCTATGAATATGTATTAATGTGTTATGAATATGTATGTTCTAGTGAAGAAAAGACATTTAAGAGCCTGTGGAAGTGAGAGGTCAGGTTCAACGTAGATCAACCTTTTCTCTCTGCTTCAGCTTCTCCCCAGTAAAGGTCCCTCAAAGACTTTGCATTAGTGGCGTGCAGTGGTCTGATTTTTCCCTCCAGGTCACTTGGAACCACTAACTAGGCCTGTAGTTTCACAGAGGATGCCCACCTGGTGGGGGCCTGATTGTGCCTTTTCCAGCTGCTCTCCCTCTGCTTTTCACCTCCCCCGCCCCACTCCACCCTTGGTCCTTTTCTTCCTGACTCTGCTTTTTTTTTTGTAACATCCCTAAACTACATCATCGTTGTTGTTTTCATGAAAACGACAGAAGTTCATCTTAGTTCATCTTAGCCCTTCATAATATCACCCATCACAATACACTGTTAAAATATCACAAACACCATAGGAACTCAGCCCCCTTCTGGGTGTGTACTCAAATTCAGAGTCCAGTTTTAGGTGAGGGTGCCTTCCATGTGACTGGAATATGAGAAAATCCATGTTTGTGTACATGAATCAAGGACTGGAGTGTAGCATGAATCTGAGCAGAAAGAACCTGGAGTCAGGGAAACCAGCTTGGCGGTTGTCGCAGACGTTAGGGGACAAAAGCCTGCATGGGTTGTGGCAGCAGTGGAGCGGACGGGGTGCCTGGGAGAGACATTCACCCGGAAGGACCTACCTTGGCAAAGTTTTGTCAGAGATAAGGAAGGAGTGGTTTGGGATGACAATGGGATTTCAAGGGTGGTGAAACCGGGGCAGTTGTACAGATGAGGAGGTGCGTACAGTCTAGCTTCGGTTGTGCTGGGAAGCAATGCCAGTACACCCGTGAGAGTAAAGAGTGCTTGTTCATTTGTTCATTCAAGCAATGCTCATGGAGCATGTCCTGTGGCAGAAGCTGGAGAGACACCGTGGGGAGGCTTGATGACAACTGAGATTGTTTCCGTCATTAAGAGCCTTAGGGGAGGCACAAACATCTGTAATAAAAGGCATTGGGTGATAAGTTTGTATAAGAGACACCAGCAGATTGCTGTTAGACATCCAGAGGAGACTGAGCCCACATCCAGCTGAAATCAAAGTGGAGCACTCCAGTGAGGGGAATGGGGTAGGGGGAGCACAGCTAGGACTTTCCTCTTTGCACTTGTTCCCTGAAACCTGCTTTACTCTTCATATTTGTTTCGTCTCGTCTAATACTCCACAAATTCAAATTTACCGAAGAGAATCCTTTCAGCGCTGATGTCATGCACACCAGCCTCC